TTCCGTACAAATATTCCATAACAGATGTACAGTACGAATAATATCAATATATTTCTGCTTACAGTTAATTCAGTTTTACTAAAAATACATTTCAAAATAATATAAGTTCTTCTCTTATTTATTATTCATTAAATATTGTACTTAATATTCGAATTTATCGAGACAAAAGTGCTTAAAACACGTAAAATATATTTTACGTATTGGTCAGTACACTAGACTATTGATTAATACGGCGTTTGATAATCCGGCCTCCCAATTATCCGTCACATTCCATTATTCATGTTTATTATTTTTTTAAATATACAGTAACTTTAATAAAGAATTAAACTTAGAATTACTGTATCCGTCCAAAAAAAAATAATAATTGTCGCTCATTTTCTTTATTCCTACTCAGTAATCCGGCATTCCTGTATACAAGAAGTTGTCGGATTAGCGAGAGTCTACTGTATTAAAATTATCTTAACCGATCTGATAAACTTTCTTTACGTAGAATTTTTTTGTGTGTCAACTTATTCTATTTCTATTTATTTATACATATTGAAGTATAATGAAAAAGTTACTTATATCAACATCTAATAGAATTTATTACAAAAATCACTTAAAGTATCTAACTACTTCCCAAAAATACTTATTATTTGTGTATACATTTCTTCTTGTAACTGATATAATCAGTCGGGCGGATGGCCGAATTAATTCGCCAGACTAATGTCTAGAGATCTGATACGGGAGAACAACCCCAGGAATTTTTCAAGGGGGATCTGTCCCGGATATGTCGGGTCCCGTTCTTCCCTACTATCTATGATGGACGTGATTAAAAGGCCCTGTTAGTATCTACAAAACGGTAATATTAAAAAAAAAAGGAAGGAAATTGATTTTATCAGGAATAATTCAAACAAAAATTATTCATAACGGAACTGCAGTGCAAATGTTTATAACTTTGACTTTATCTGTTGTATAATAGAGAAAAATTCTTTATCATCATAAAGAATCTGAACTATTTCATTTATTTCTATAACCTGACATTATTAGCGAGGTTGCGGCCGAAGTTTTTATATCTCAAACGTAAACGTCGAACGTCGAGCGCTGCTATCTTTTAAGCGGCGCTCGATGTTCGACGTTCACGTTTCAATGTAATCAATCATATGGCCGAAAGTTAAGCCCTTCGAAACCTGGCTGGGACTTAGATTATAAAAATATTGTTATATTGAAGGCTAAGTACTACACTGACCACTTTAAACTCTGACTTCATCTTCTTTAGCTAATTTTTGGTTTTATTTAATTATTATAAATTCGAAATTAAACAATTCCGA